TCAACCTCTGCTGTACATCTTCCATCACGTGATTCGGCACCCAGTCCTCGCTTTTCCTGCTGGTACTACTTTGACATCTTTGGTGCCCTCAGAGATTTCCTATTGTCGACCATGCGCAACACGTGTTCTGACAAACTCCATGGAGTAGGGTCCAGGGAAATTAATAGTAGTTAATGTGGTCAAGAATTTCCCGCCACTTGATGGTACTCGAATGTTCATTGACGTATTCACAAGAGTCTAACGCTGGGCCTTACTTGAGCCAGTATTCATGACCACACAATATTTCTGTAACATCCATTTTAATATTATTATTTCATCTACGATTAATATTTCAGTTCCCCTTTCGGATCACATTTTTATATGCATTTCTTACCTCTCTTCGTAGTTTTTGAAGGTATGTAAAACTACTACAGCGGACATCTTGTATAAAAACAAAGCACTGTCGTTTCATATTTACGTCAGGTGATCGTCTCTTCAGATGGCATCATTTGGAGGACTGTAGACGTCACGCGTTCTTCCTGGAATTTCTTGTTTCGGAACCACGTCGTCAAGAATTAATGGGATTCCCGATTTTTGTCTGAAGCATTAATAGACCACACAAAAACATCTCAGATATTAATACACCAGGACTCACGAAGTTGTGTCGACAGTTTCAAAAAGTTTTAACTGATTTCAAAGTTAAAAACATCGAAACAAAATCCTAAACCACTCAGTTTGTTCTGTTGTTGCATTGCATAATACACGATTCAACTCAAGAATGGCTAGACGGATTTGGATGAAATTTGGTATGGGCGTTATGCCACTGGAAGCTGCCGTAAACTCGCAATTTTAATTTCCTGCAATAATAAATACCAACACGGCGGAAGGACAAATTTGTGAGGCGGGGTCGACACTAGCGCCATGTTCTGTAAGACCATGCAATTTTATATTGTGTCTCCTTGTTCATCGTAAAGCAACAATATGGCGGCTGCACGAAACAATAAATTAAAAAATATAACTTGACCAGAATTTGATCCCATGGCCCCAGCCTAGGAACCCACTGTGCTAACACGCAGTGCATAAAGATAACATTGAGAACATGTGATTTGTGTAGTTAGAATTTCAGCGAAGTAAAATAACTAACATTATCTATTACGATAATTTTTTTTTTAAAAATAACAGATTAAAGGACATTTCAACATGGCGTAGATTGTACATTGCATTTATTTATTTATTTGCAATTCACAGTCAATGCACCGTGAACCTACGATCTCGCAACAGTGAGTTCGCGATAAACAATTAAATCAATACAGAATAAAGTAAACAGCATTTATAACGCATTTTCGTGATAAAAGTGGAAAGCACCAGCAAGTAGTGATACGAACGTAGACTGAGAGTGTCTGAGGAGAATATTTGGACCTAATAGAGATTAATTACCAGGAGGCTAGAGAAAATATCATAATGAGGAGGTTCATGAGTTGTACTCTCGCCAAATATAATTTGACTGATGAAATCAAGGAGGATGGGATGGGCAGGGCATGTAGCCCTCATGGAAGAGAATAGGAATACATATAGACTTTTAATGTGTAAACCAGAAGGAAAAAGACCACTAGGAAGACCTAGACGTAGGTAGGATAATAATATTAAAACGAATCTTACATAAATAGGATGGGGTGGCATGGATTGGATTCGTGTGGCTCAAGACGGGGACTGGTGGCGGGCTCTTGTGAACGCGGTGGTGAACCTTCGGGTTCCATAAAATGTTGGGAATTTCTTGAGTGGCTGTCAGCTTCTGAGGAAGAACTCGGCCCCGTGGAGTAGGTAAGTGGGAAGTCCGTACCCCGCGATGCATTGAAGTTCGCTCGTTGCCTGCATGGCCAGCGATTGGTTCAGCTCGCATAAAAATTAAGAATCAGTCACACGTTCCATTCTCCCAGTAAGTGGACAGTTGATTTAATCAGAGGGGGGAAATAATCAATTCATCAACCTTTAGTGCAGGGGCTGTCCTTAATGCAACAAAGCGACAGATAGCATCCTTATTACGTAGACGGTCCCACGCTGATTGTCGAAGGTGTGTGACGCCCGTCTTCAGATATCGATTTTGAAGGCGAGGTACGATATTTTTGTGTACGGGTCTGGAGAAAAAAACACTTCCTCAGTTTGGATCCCGTTGACGAGCATTTCCTGATTAGATGACTAATTTACAAGCGAGATTTCAGGTTCTCACGGTTGTTGAGTATGAACTCAACGCCCTGATTATGGAGGCAGCAGGTAGCTCTGAAACGATGATAAATTTCTGCCAAACTACACGGCATAATATCCACTACTTTAAGAAATTCTAATATTTATTACAGTGTTAAAAATGGCCTAACCTCGGGAGTTTCATTTTGCTCTCACCTTGCGTCTTAAGATTCATTTTAATATTATGTTCCTACGTCTAGGTGTCGTACGTCATTTTGCACCCAAAATGATTCATGAATTGTTTAAGAACATTATTTCATCGTTATTTATCACGCTGATGAATGTCCGTCGGCTTTTGATGGATCGTAATAGGCCGATGTGAAGTGCCGTGTGACCTCACAAGTCTGTCACGTGGTCAGCTCAGGGTGATTGATTGGTCTCAATATTATGTGCCCCATAAAGCTACAGAGTGGCTTATTCTTTAACTTAACCTTTTAAAGCCCGGTGAGAACCATATGTGCCACCTCCTTTGACAGTCACTTCTTAGTTTTGCTCGCAAAAGTTTGTGGCTACTGCTCTATTGTGTAATGTTCCTCAGGGTTTGGCACCGTGTAGACTCGAAGGCAGACAGCATCACCAATTTTCAGGTCTGAAGTTTGAGACATTACGTTTCTCTGAAATCATGGCGTCTGCCTATGAGTCTACACGGCGCCAAACCCAGAAGAACATCATCAAATTCTCCATTGTTTATGCAGGGGGACCTTCAATACATACTTATCGCTTGCTGACTGTTGTTCGACTTTGCATTGTTTCGGAAGGAAGTGAATTTCCAGAACACGCCTTTTTACTCTTTATTTGTATAACTTTTTACTGCACTTTGACTGGAGGGATAGATGGACGTATGGAGATATGAATGCAAATCTCAGACATAATTATTTTATTATGACATGCCCATTCTGATAATTTTTTTTTTTGGTTTTGTCCAAGTTGTGTCGTTTCTGTATTCCGACTGGAGTGTGGTAGGCCGAAAGACGTTCATTCATATGATTTCACATCCATGAGTCTGCTATTTAGCTGTTTGTCCTGTGTAGTACCTGTGTCAGTTTGGTTGTTGACAGGCTCAGACCGTGAATCCTGGGCCAGATCTGGAGAAGTGGTAACCCTACAAAAGCATTAGATGAGGATCTACCTCTTCTCTTCTTGGAGCCCCAAGGAATTGGCTTCCAGGACACGTTACACGTACTTCCGTTGTCTATTTTAGACTTCCCCCCCCCACAAACTAGCTTTGTTCTGTCATCTTCCTCTCCTTGTCCCCACACTACACATCTTCATCATCTTCTTCTTCATAACATTCTCCTTCCCTTTTTTTCCTGTCTTCTTCAGGCATCTCTGTTTCCGTTCACGGTTGTTCCATCCTGCCCCTGTCGTCCTCTCGGGTTGGTGTTCTGCGAAACTTCCTGGTTAAATAATATGCAACATATATGGGATTGTATATACAACGTCACATGAACTGCGGTTATGTACGGCTGTGTACATAACGACTTCCTTGATGGACCGAATCGCAAGTCGCCATGTATGGTGTTGCAGCTTTGGAGAGTCAACAGCCTTCCGTTTGGCTGTGTTTATTATGGATCGAACAGCCATTTGGTGATTGTCCGTAACTATTAGCAGGAAGGGATGCCCCCTTGTCGGAAATTGAAACGTTCGTAAATAATTTTGATCGGAGTCTCACAATTAACTTAACTTAATTAGATCCCCTGTTCCACATCGGACATGATCCGGTCGTGGTGGCAGAGGCAATACTTTCTGCCTCTGCCAGGAAGCATAGTATAATATTAAAAAGGATATGAGTTGTGAGGGTTTATGCTGGATTCGAGTGACTTCCCTGATTGTTGGAGGGGCGTCAGACGCCAAATCCTGTTTACAAATGGCGGGACTGTTGAAGCATTCTTAGATTTACCATCCATCGTCCTTAGTGTCCGCTGAAGGCCAAAATTGTCGCCATTCGTTGTTGTCAGCTTTTCTTGTAATGACATTTTCATGGCGTATGACGTTTGGAAGTTTTTCGCCGAAACAAGTAAAAATTATCTCTGTGAGGAGGTCGGGGAGGAATGTGTGATAAGCGAACATTGTAAATAAAACT